TTTTTTGGGCCAAGAAAAAAAAGGGGGGGGGGGCGCGGCCTTCCGGGGGAAAAAAAATGTTTTAAAAAGGGGGGAAGAAACATGTGGGGGAAAAAACAACATGGGAAAACTTTTTTAGCCCCCCTTTGAAAAAAAGGAAAAGAAAAGTTGCCCCCCGGGTTTGGCTCCGGGGGGAAAAAATTCCCCCCTCTTGGGGGGGGGGGGGGAAATGGTTTTCCCCTAATAGGCCCCAAAAAAAAAAAAGGAGCCCCCCCCCCCCCCCCCCCCCCCCCCCCCCCGCACGGGTGACGGGCAGACGGGAGGATGGATCCGAGCCAATGAATATATCGCCCCTTTTTTTATCTTTGCCTCGCGTCACGTGACCGTGGTTTGTCAGGTGCTGGCTTTGGTTGGCCCGTCGGGAGGCGGCAAGAGCTCGTGTATCTCGCTCTTGGAGAACCTCTACCAGCCTTCACGGGGACAGGTGAGACAGAGAGAGAGACAGAGAGAGAGAGAGAGAGAGAGAGAGAGAGCAAGCTCGCGGGTATATGCACAGAAGAAGTCTGCACCAGCGCGGCGTATTCGTGGGTGGTCTTGTGCACAAGCGCGGTTTGTTTTACAACGGATACGTTCAGACAAACAAACCCACCCTGCCTTCGCTGGGTTAAGTTCTGGCCCTCAGACAGGAGACACACAACGAAATGCGCGGCGATTCAGACCGCTCTTTTCAATTCCGCTGTGATGTAGTCGTCGCTTTGGGAGCCGTCCTCTATCCCGCAGCACGCCACCCATCGAACGACTTCTTTGGCGGTAAGTGTTGTCTTTGGTGTGGTTAGGGTTTCGAACCGAAGAGGCAGGGTGGGCTAAAGAACGACACGGTTTGGCGTGTAGGCCAACATACGGAAGAAGCGGTGCGGTCTGTCCACCACAGGACACCGGACAAGCTTGCACACTGCTTGCTGCTAGTCGCATCCAAGCCACCACGTAAGGATTCAACAGTCACAAAGGTTCATGGTCGTAAATCTTGTACGGCACGTTCAGCCCTCCAGCGTTGGTATGTTTTTCGCGACAGCTTTCAGAGATTCTCTTCCCCCTGTCAGCGGCTACTCGGCAGGCGGAGAAATGCTTTCCTACTGATGTGTCTACGGAGATGTACTCCTTGGGAGCTCCTTGCCTCCCGCCCCCCTCCCTTCCCCCCAGGCTTTGGCTTAAAAATGCAAACCCGTGCACCGGCGCAAGTTTTGGAGTTGTTCCCATCTATGCGGCGACACCTGCATGCGTGGGTGTTTCTGTTTTTCAGGTGCTGCTGGATGGGCTCCCGGTGCACGAGTACGACCACGGCTGGCTCCACAGAAACATCTCCATCGTGGGCCAGGAGCCGACCCTGTACGCTAGGAGCATTCGGGAGAACATCATCTACGGCTTGGAAGGTGACTCTTAATGTTGTTGTTGTCTTGACATTTAAAACCGTTCCGGTCTCCGCTCAGTACCTTCTAATGTCCGTACTGGTCCAACTGGCGCGTACGCCTTGCGGGGTCACAAGCGAACCACCCAAAGAGGAATACACCAGTTTGTGGGTGTGTGTTTTTTACTATTTACATCGGCGGCGCTAACCGGCTCACCAATGAAAAGACGTCAGTCTTAGTGCGGTTGAAAACACGAAACACTTCTAAATGCCGTTAACTGGGACCCCGTGAGGGGTCGGCATGGGGGAGATTAATCTATTCTCCGGATCAAAGACAGGAACGGTAGCAACAGAAGAAAACTGCACACGTCTACGAAGGCTGATACCTTGTACTCGAGTTCGTGTTGAAGGAAGTTGTTGTTTGGTGTGTTTGATTTCACTGACGTTCACAGCGTAGCTTCTGGTACTCCTAATCGCTTTTTACGTACGTTTTTTCCCTTGTACTTTTGCGTAATAGTGGAAGAGCCCGACATGGCTGATGTGAAAGAAGAGGCCGTCCAACAAAAAGAGAACTCATCATTTTTGTGCGTGTACGCGCATTCTTCTTTTTTCCATACCGGTCACTTTTTTTTTTTCTCTCGTGTTTTGCGTAACAGGGGAAGAGCCCTCCATGGCCGACGTGGAGGAGGCCGCGCGTCTGGCCAACGCCCACACGTTCATCTCGCAGTTGCCGGAGAAGTACGAGACGCAGGCGGGAGAGCGGGGGGTTCAAATATCTGGGGGGCAGAAGCAGAGGATAGCGATCGCGCGGGCGTTGGTAAGAAACGAGTTGCAACAGTTGCTGTGGCATTTTTTTGCTGTTTAGTTCTGTCTGGCCCGTCTCTCTCGTTGAAACCCTGGCTCACCCCCAACGTTTTTTTTTCGTTTTTTTTGGCAGTTGTTGTGTTGGCTTGGCACGTTGGGGGGTGGGTGTCTGTCTGTGCGCACTGCGTGCAGTGGCGCGCTAATAAGGGGGAGCGGTCGTGGAAGGTTTGTCGGTGCGGACTTGAGGGTGTGTGGGTGTACTCTTACTCTTCGCCCCGACACATGTCGGGTGTGCCTGCCTGCCTGCCTGCCTGCCTGCCTGCCTGCCCCCCGGCGGCTGCTCGCGCACCAAGCACAGCCCCCTTCCCTGTACCTTGCGCGTGTTGGAAGGAAGAAGTGTTGGTGGGAGGTGTACGGCGATCACGTGAAGCATGGACCAGCAGTGCTTGCATGCACGTCGTGGCGTCTCCGTAAGACTGCGTGTGTTGTCTGTTGAGAGAAGACGTGGTCTCGGTGTTGGGACGCAAGGACGAGTGCGCAGCTGCCCCAACCAACAACTGGTGCGCGCTCATGACCCTCCCCAAGCTGTCCCAACCAACAACTGGTGCGCGCTCATGACCCTCCCCAAGCTGTCCTAACGAGCAACTGGTGCGCGCTCATGGGCCTCCCTGTTCAATAATGGCTTGTCCCGTCTGCCGTAGGTGCGAAAGCCGAAGGTGCTCCTGCTCGATGAAGCCACCAGGTATGACTTGGTTAGGTCACACGACATGCATGTACAGTACTTGAGGCAGACGGAATGTTTGCACCCCTTGTTTTTGCTCTGACGGCTCATGTCTCCGATGCTGAGGCGTGATATGGTTACTAGCCCCGCAAATAAAGGACAACTTGCTTGCTGCTAACTCGCTTCGGTTTGGGTCAGGGACCCGCTCCGTTCTTTGTGCTGCTGCGGGGTGGTACGGCAACGGCAGACGTAGCACACCGTTTTTGCACCTTGTTCTTCTGCCGCGAAATTAGTTTGTTTTCATGGCTGTCCTTTTTCCTTGTTTTGTTCCTGCGTAGTTCTCTCGTTGGTTACTTTTCAGCGTCAAGGTTGTTGACATGATCTCCCTCCTTCCCTCCTTCCCTCCCTCGTCAACCGCCGGGGTCGTCAACCGGATGCCTTCGGTACCCACACACCTGTACCACCATCATCATCATCATCACCGCCCCCCGCGGGATGTGGAAAAAAACGATGGTCGGCATTGGCAGTGCGTTGGACGCCGAGAGCGAGCACCTGGTGCAGCACGCCATCGACAACATGATCTCGAGGGGAGGCATGACGGTCATCCTCATCGCGCATCGCCTTAGCACCGTCAAGCGGGCCGACAAGATCGTGGTCATCCGCAGTGGCCAGGTACTACAGCGCACGGAGGAGACGTGATGTTGTCTTTCGCATGATTTTTGTGTTCTTGGTATGCACTGTATTAGCATACTATAACTGAGGAAAACAGAACGACCGTCGGGTATGGTAATCATTACTCACCCTGGACAGTCGCTCTGTCTCATTATGGGTCTAGCGAAGTTTTGCTTGGCATGTGCCAAGTCTACGAACAGAAATAGGTGGCAAGTCGGAGTTGTTGGCATTCTCTCGCGTGAGCCACGGATAGATCATTCAGAACAGAACACAACCGTTTCGTGTGCCTGTTCGTGGCCCCCATCGTGTCGCCATCGACAACCCTGAATCGAAGAAGATTCACGTTTTTCTGACGCGACAAGCTCATGTGCGAGAGAAGGGAAACCGATGACAAACTTGTACCATTCTTAAACGCTGCGATCCCCGCAGTACTACTACTATTTCGTGATAGCTTGAGGTTTGAATCGTTTCATACGTCACCCGTAGGCATCCCCTACTCGTCAGGTGTGGTCGGTACGTTATACGGTGGCTGACTCAAACGGCTGCCTGCGAGCGTGTTTTTTGCCCCTTTCGTACGGATATATGAATGCAGTGTTTGTTGTGCGTGTGGCTAAGTGTCGTCTGGTGGAAGTTAAGCCGGAAGGTGGCTGCTGCTGTGTCGCCGGGAAGTGAACGGTCGCACCACACTCTTCCCTCGACAACCTGTGGCTTTCGTGGCGATATGGAGGCAGTCATCGCATGTAGCCCAGCGACGACTTCCGCGGAGCCGCCCGGGAGAACAATGCATACCGTACGTTGCGTATATCACACCCCCTGGACCGATTTTCGAAACTCGATATCTCGGCAGGCAAAGCCGTGAAGGTGCCGAAAATGGCGGCGGCGTTGGGACCGTCTCGTCGAGAGCTTTCCGAAAGCTCACATTTCAATTTCGGCATCCTCTTAGTCGTGGAGTAAATAGTCGAGCTTTGTGAATCGATCCAAGTGGGTGTGGTATCTTACGCGACCTGCGGTAGCACGTTGTGGCGCTCTCGAAGCGCGCGTCGCCTCTGACACTGAAGCACGGGGGGGAAGAAGGGCGCGCTTGAGAAGGAAGGACCGATTGCGCATTGACGAAAAAAAAACTCCTTCCGACGACGAATTTCGAAGCAAATTAACACAACAACCCTGTCCTGCTCCCTTCGTGCTCCCTTCGTGTCTGTGTGTGGATGGCGGCACCAAACGCCTGTTGGATGGATCAGGTAGTGGAGGAGGGCACCCACGAGGAGCTGCTTGACGCCAAGCACGGCGTGTACGCCGGGCTGGTGAAAAGACAGCTCGACCTCGGGGAGAGCGGAGGAGGAGGCGGAAGAAGAGGGGGCAAGGAGAACCACAGGCTCGGCGTTACCACGACCACCATGGGGCTCTCCAAGACAACATGAATGAGGTGTTTTTGAATACCCCGCAATGGTGTGTTTTCTCCGAGTAGGAACGGGCACCAAGAAGATCTTGAGAGCTCCTAGTGATTTTCATTTCTCCATCTCGCGCGTGCGCGAGAGAAAAGATGATGGGACGGAGTCTGTTAGGCCACAGCTGTACATCCACACCACCGGAGTTTTGCCGTCTGTTGTGTTAATTCGAAAAGAGGTTCCCCAGTTGTCCTGCGTGGAACGAAAGCGTCGATCACACTGGACCCCTGTAAGTTTTTTTTTAGTTCTATGATTTTTACTGGTCCTTCTTGTGTCTCCGGCGCTCGCGCGCACTTTGGCAATCGACTCCGTATCAAAAAAATGTATTGAGGTTTTGCCACATTAATGTGCCTGCGCGTATAATAGGCGTACCCTTGATAGTTCAGTGTCATCTAGCGGGTGCACGCCGGGTGGATTTGCGGGGGGTAGGCGGAATGTACTTGGCTGGTATTGGGCAACGCAACCTACGATTTTGTTTTTTTGTTGGTAGTCGGCAGGGGGGGGGGGAATGGTTGGAGTAGGTGGTATGCTTTGCTCGCAGGTGTTGGGTACCGTCTTGCGACGCTTTGTCCGCATGGGAACCAAAAGTAATCGCTTCGCCCCATGCAGGGTGTGTGTGCAGCGCGCGATAAACAGTGATTAGCCTTTCCACAGGAATGACAAGGTGGCACATTCGTTTGTCCCGTGTACCGGTCTCAGATGTATAGTGTCTCGGGGTGGGGGTGTTCTGTAGCGTTTCGTGGATTCCGCGGAGGGGTAACAGAAGTCGCAGGAGCGTGGGGTAGCGCGTTGGAAGTGCCGACAGAAGAACTCGCAGACGTGTCGGGTAGGGTTTGGGATGTGGGAAAAGTATTTCCCACATACAAATTTTCGGGCATGTTGACAACGTAACTTTCTCCCAATTTCGCGCTTCTTCATTCGTGTGGTGGTCAACCCCGTTTTCTGCTACCCTCGCACACAGACTTGCGTCTCTCTCCCCGTCGTTTCCGTGTACCCCCCCCCCCCCTCCCCCTGAACGCACGAAAGCACGGAAACCCCCCCAAAAAAAGGGCCGAAACCCCCCCCCCGCAACGACCGCCTTTTCCACGCCCCAGGCGGAAAACGAAAGGCAAGCCGGCGGGGGGAGGCAAGCCCCACCCCCCCCCCCGACGCCCCGGAAACAAACAGCAGGGGCAACGAAACACGGCGGCAACAGGACGGCCCCAACCCCCAAAAAAAAAGGGGGAAAGGCAGCCAAGGGGGGGAAGAAAAACAAACAAGAAAAGGGGGACCCAAAGCAGGCCGGCAGCAACAGCAAAAAACAACAACGGCGGCCCAAAAACACCCCGGGGACACAGCGGCCCGAGCCGGGAAGGAGGCCCCCCCCCCGCCGACAGGGACGACAACAACAACGCGCCG